GTGTAAAATTTAAATCTTAATTCCTCGCCTCTTTCATTTGATCAAGGGAATTATCCGAAGAAATACTTTAAGAGCTACTGTTTAGCATATCTTTCTACTGTTGAGTATTCCTTAGGATGATTTTAGGCCTAATGTTTAGCTTAGCTCAGGAACACACTAGGGAGAAAGGCAAATAAATGTCTATGGGGATTTTAGACTCATCAACTCTCTTATGAGATCTCTATCACTAAAGCACGAGGAGCCAGCATCTTACAGTGACATCATTCAGAAGAATATAAGACCCATCACAAGAACACCATTATATCATTGCACTTACTGGTGTTATTTTCTCCAACTGCTTCTTTTTTGGGTTGAGCACATCTTCTGGCTTACCGTCAATCCTAAAATGGAATCACAAACGGAGGCTTATCACAGGGAATACAATAAAGTTCTTTTGGAAATAAATTGGAGGTAGCATCCAGCTTCCCAAACTTCATACATGACTATCCGAACTAAGTCCAATTTTCAAGCATAGTCATTTGTCAATTCAAGAAGGCTAAACGAGTAATAAGGGCCTAACTATGGCATCAAGATGCTCACCCTGAGAATGATACATGTTCTCCAACTTTGGCACCTTCAGGAGGTAGTAGTGGTTCCACAGCAGTGTGATCTTCGCTTGAAGCACATAAAACCTGAAAAGTTTGGGTTCAAAGAAGTGTGTTCACTGTAAATTTCATTCCTTCAGTGTTTGACAGTTTAAGATGGCAAAGAATCATCCTATTTGCAGTGCAGATTGTAGTCTTTGACGATGCAAAAAACACGGAGAAGATTTGCAATGAAAACGATGCTGGATGTAGGCAAAGCAGGGCGGCACGTAACAACAGCAACAGCAGCAAAAAAAGAATAAGACATTTGGGCCAAAGTAAGACCTAAGTTCTAGGGTTTGGATTTGGGCGCATCAGGGCCGAGCAGAAAAGATTATTGGCAGTTTGGCACTTCTTTTTTGGGTTGGTAGAAGACGTTTGGCAAAGGTGAAAGATTCCTATACAGTATTTATTGGGAAACGACCAGATATTTACTTTTTTTACCAAGAACATGATAATTATTTGATAGTTTGACCATGACTAACAACAGAAACAATAAAGGAGATCTAGAGTTTGAAGAGGGACCAAAAACAGCAAAAGACTAAAAAGGGAAGAATATGTACATAAGCTCCTAAGCATACAATAATGGCCTTGAAGCTTGTGAAATGGCATTGAAATGCTGAATGAACTTCGAAAGCATACAAAAGGTAGTAAAGTTGATCGCATGACAATGAAAAGTATAATTAGAGTTTACCAGTCCTTCTGACATCACATCTCGGAGCTTTCCCGGCTTTACATTTGTAATCAGCACAACACGTCGATTCTTTGGCCCAAAAAAACAAGAAAGGAAAGGAAAGGACAGACCAAGCAAGCATCAGAACCGTCGAACAAAGAGAAAATATTCATAACCTGTTTTCTGCCATGGATCTTACTGTTAACTGTTCTGGACTGTAGTACTTTGCCAAACCACTAACCACCTGCCTCACTTTGGCTTCCCCAACATCTATTTCTTCAACCAACAAACTGAATTATGCACAAGAATGAAAAATGTCACGATAGTAACATTTCCGCACCACCAGATCCGAATCCGTTTTTCAAAATATTTGAAAGTTAGAAACTAGTAGCAGCCAAAACGATTTTCCTTTTGTTTCCCCAATTGAGCTATGAATTCTTCGAGCAAAAGCAACAGTAGTCACTATACCTATCAGCTGATGGATGCTTCCATGCCTTGCGGATAAGCCCAACCTGTATGTTAAGCAAACTGACACTCAATTCTTTATCTTTCTCTAAAACTTCTGTAGTAGCTGGTTTCTTCTTCTCCTCTGTAGGTTTCTTCTTCTCCTCGGTAGATTCCTTCTTTGCTTGAACTTTTTTCTTTGAGTTCTGATGGAAGACCAAGAGGATGTCATGGAGAAAAGACAGTGTACCAAATACCAAACGTTGTGCAAGTAAACATCTGTGCACAACTAACTATCATAAATATTAACAAATACAAAAGGAACTAGTATTACAGAATTTGCTACACAATCTAGCACGCATTTCTGGAGTTGTTCCGGATACCTATGGTTAAGAATTTACTTCACAAAAGTAACTCTTGCCCTTGCAATGTTTTAATAGCATCATGACTCAAGAGAGGCAAGAAGAAAACAGATAAAAGAAACACTGCAGGCCTTCCTAAATATCAAAATATTGAACTATATTCTTCATCCAACCCAGCGATACTAAGGTTCTATGATTTCTACTGGCAGGTCAGGCATAAAGAAACAAGCTAGCCAGACTCCTTATGATTGGAGTGTAGCTAATTAAGGTATAGCATAACCAACTAGTTACTTAAAGTTATGATCTTAGTACCATTCAAACAATCCAGTAGCAGATTGTCCGGTAAATGATCTGACAAGTTGATTAATGATCTAGAGTAGCTCCATGGTAGCAGTTCACAAATACAAACGAATTTAAAAATCTTGCAAGTCTTTAAATTAGGCTTCCACAGTCCAGCTAGTAACCTCAAAAGGTTTGAGTTGAGGTGAGTTCAAACTACTGTTCCCTTTTCACACATCCTGAAAACCTCTTTTCCTACTAAGAACACCCAAATAAGCATGGATGCATGGGTCAGTTTGGTGTATACTACACATACCTTTGCCTCTTTCACTCTCTAAGCAATAGAAGATGAAAGTATAGAGATTTTGCTCTAAGCAATAGAAGAAAGGATACCTCAGGTTCACTTTTGTTGGCAGTTTGGTCAGCTTCCACCTTCTTTGTGTTTTGCCCAATCTTCTTCGCATTTAGATCTGCTTCTAATTTTCCTACACTGGGGGCATCTCGCACCTGCAATTAAGCAGCAACATAAGCAACTCAACAATCTTAATTGAGACACAAATCAAATAAATAAGCCAAAGGAGAAGGGGTAAGTAGGCAGAATCCAGAGTCATAATTGACAAAATGATTTCATCTACTTAACAGTGAGATGCTAGCTCAAGCACATATCAGAAGCCTCTCTATTCAAAACACACTGATCAAGACTTCCATTAAGTTCTTAACTAATTTATGTCAAAGAATCTGGAAAACTACATCTAGTACTTTATCAATGACTGAATAAATCCATATTGCTACAGAAAAAGGACAATGGTCGTAGACATGCTGACATCACCTGTGGGACAAATTCATCCTTTTCCAGTGGTATTTTCTCAAACAGTTCACCAAAATCTTCCTTGTGCTGGAGATCAGTGAAAGAAACCAAGTCAATTCGGGTACCAGAAACACGAACTCGAAAGGGCACACAGGAGTTAAAGACTTTAAATGCAACATTGACGCATGTAATACCGTAAGTAGAGAATGCAAATTCCAAGAATGTACAATTTTCACCAACAACAGGCTACTATTTTCCTCACTCTTTTTCAGGCTTAAGACCCATAGAGAAGAGGTTCACACTGATTCTACACAAGCACTTCTAAGTTCTATGTTATGAAGTTACAAACAAAAAAATAAATCAGACCTCCAGTGCAGCATACTGGAACACTGACCGCAAATCTAAGAGCACATTAATAAGAAAATTATTTGAAATTCAGTTAAACATGCAGTAGGTCTGCAAAAATTATCAATGAACTAAAAAACCTGCAACTGTACCCATCCAAGATGCAACAGCAGCCTGGTGTAATCGGAAAGTTTTCAAATGGTGGCGGGAAAAAAGAATGCTGGATAGACAAACGTCTCTTATGGTGGTACAATGCCAATAAGATTTCAATTCAATGCGATGACAGAATTCACCTGTATGTAATCCATCCATCTGAATACATGCAGGAACTTCTCCTTTTCTGACTGCGGTAGGCCAATCTAAACACAACAGAAACAGTCATGTTAATAAGAAATCATAAATTATCTGATGAGGGCTAAGGCAGACATGTGCGAGCTATTGAGAGCATTTACAGTATCGAGGGGCAGAAAAACACACCACAAAAGAATGTATGGCCGAGAATACAATAACATCAGCTTCCGACGGCGTGAGTCCATTCGCCAAAAGTACAGACTTTACAAGCAACTCATCGTCTAATCTGCTGAGAGCTTGACAACAAGCCTTAGAGTCTTGAGGAAAACTCTCTGAAAATCCTATCCATTTCATCACCTATCGACCATGCATTCACCTTTTCTTAGAATAACAGAACAAAGCTCTAGCGACAGCAACAGCAACAGGAACCACAGCCCACTGCGTATTAGTCCAACCTCTATAGCTAGCCAAGAGCTTACCTCATCTTGACCATTCAATGGAGTGGATTTTCCAGATAACTTCAGGATGTTGGAGTACAAGCTCTTAGCATCAGAGTTCCCCACATCACTCAATGACTCTGACTGCTGCCCATGTTCAAGCCAGTTCTCAGCTTAGCCAGGAACACCAACAAAACTTTCATCGCGGAAAAATAAAATTGCTCAAGAAATTACTGAAAAGAGTAAGCAATTCGAAGTTAGAGGAGCTTACAGGCGATACAGAGAAGTGCTTGCACAGAGCTGATACTATTTTTCGCTTCGTTTCCACACTAGCAGCTCCATTAGCAGCCATTGTAAAACGCATGTCTTGTGCTGTAAGTCACTCTTCCAATTTCTCAGTCGGGGATCGGAGGAAGATGAACGCAGATTACCTTCTGCCACAACAGAGGGTTTTGGAGACTTCTGCTCCCGTTTTTCCTTCTCACTGTTTGGTTTAGCGGGCTGCGCACAGAAAAGAAGCCCGCGAAATTTTGGGTGGGCCATTGAAAGCCCAACGTAACAATTCCCGCTCATTTGTCTTTCTGATTTCTAATCCTTTTTCCAATCCCCCGGCATCGCATTTGGGAGAAGAAAGAAAAACCCTCTTTTCCCGTTCCCACCCAAAAGCTCAAAAAAGCCAGAAACTTGCTTCTCCCTTTTGCTCCTTCTGCTCAGGCCTCCGTCGTCGTCGTCATCGAGATGAGAGAACAACAACTTGAGAAGCTGCGGGGACTGGTGCGCGACTGCCTCAGCAAGCACTTGTACTCTTCCGCCATCTTCTTTGCTGACAAGGTCGCTGCTTTGACTAATGATCCTGCCGACATCTACATGCAAGCCCAAGCCCTCTTCCTTGGCCGCCATTTCCGCCGCGCTTTCCATCTTCTCAACGCCTCCAAAATCGTCCTCCGTGACCTCCGATTCCGCTACCTCGCTGCCAAATGTCTCGTATGTAGCATTTTCAGAAATTCTCAATTTAGTGCTTCATTTGCTTGGTTGCTGTCTGTGATTATCAATTTTACTACTTGAATTTGTGATTAGGAGGAGCTGAAAGAGTGGGATCAATGTCTATTGATGCTTGGAGGTGCTAAGGTTGATGAAGATGGGAATGTGTATGACATGAAGGATCCGTCTGCCATGTACTTGGATAAAGATGGGGAAGACCGTGAGATTAATGCAAGTCCATTTCCTCCCCCTTCCGTTATCTGGTTTTGCTTTTGATGCGTTCTGTCTATTTCCTCCCGCAATTCTTCACTTTCTACTTGAAAATGTCCCCAAGTTGTGTTGATAGCTTCTGTGAACGAAGTTTTGGATTTTAATGGTAGACTCTTCGTCTTAGAAAAGTAGGTAGAGTGGAAGGCGGTATTGCTGTGCTGTTAGTCTATTACTAGTTGGGAAAGATGTGGCCCATTACTTTTCAATTATTTGAAGATTTCTAGGATTTGGATTAGATATAGGAGGGAAGGACGTTCATAATTACTCAAAAAGCTTGAAGATTTCTCTCTAAGTGTGTCTTCTTGGATCCTGGTTACTGCAGTGAACTTCATTCCTTTCTTTGTCGCCCCCTTGTTACCTTGTCCTGCATCAATGTCACACTTGCCTACCATGGTGAAAAGTATAGTGCCATAGTTGAAGAATGTGTACGAATAACTTTGTCTACCTCAGCCCATCTTTTTCAGTGGGCAGGCAGAATTGTAACATATTTTGACCTGCTCTGGCAAGTTAAAGTTACTTTGAGAAGCTTCTGCACTAAGTTTGCAGTTCATTTCACTAGAGCTCTTGAAGATTCTGTCTTTTGATTGCTGAAATGAGTTGACTTTGAGTTCTGATGCACTGCCTAATCTCTCTTCTCTTATTTTTCTTTTTCTTGGCCGTGACAGATATCTTCAGCAATATGTTTTCTAAGAGGGAAGGCATATAATGCCTTGGAAAATCATGCCCAGGCTCGGCTATGGTAAGTTTTGTTCTTTTCCACTTTGAAGTTTGAACAATGATATTGGCACCTAGGTTCAAGCATACGGTAGGTTTGATGTTTTCATTTCCCATCACAATCAAACCAACTCTTTGGTGTTGTGGTAGCTTTTTTCTTGACAACCTTAGTGTTGATAGTATATTCCTCCAAGTTCTTCTGTTGTGCTGTGGTGCTCTGTACCAACTTTCTTGTTAAAATTTAGCTGCAATGCACAACAATCTATAAAGTCCTGATTTGTACCTACTATGAATGGCCATTTATATATTTTTAACTTTCCCGGTTTAGCAGCATTCACTTGCTTTTCCTTTTTTCTTTGGCTTTGAAATTCACTTATTCATTAATTAGCTGAATGGTTAGAGATGACTAAAGATGATCTCTTTTATTTTCTATTCTTTCTTTATTGTTTGTTTTTACACCCAAGGAGTTTACTACATCGTTTTCCTGTTGAGGAGCTTATATGATCCATCTTGCTTTATTTTTCCAAGGTACAAAGCAGCTGTGAAGGCTGATCCTCTGTGCTATGAGGTACGTTTCGGAAAGTTTTTGGAATCTCATTGTCTCATTCTCATGCTGTGCTTGGATGTTGAATAAAATGTATAATTCCTTTTGTTTTATAGCCCTTTTCTGGGGGGATATTTGGCATGCATGCCAAACACAGAAGATATAAGGAAAATAGAAACAACCATGACAACCTCAGTTGGTGATTACACAACTCCCTTCCCACTAGTTCCTAGAAATAGCTCGAAAGTGCAAACTATAGCTTTGTAAACACGATTTCCTATCAGATGATCTTGAACATCAGTTTTGAGCTCTCAAATGACCCTCTATCTTGAGTATCCATCATATCTGAAAGGAATTCGAGAATGTAAGCAATAAATTGTTTTGTAATACCATATGGCCTTCGAAAACCTGTTTTTATGTTGACCCAGTGAGTTGGTTTGTTGCTCTCTTATCCACTCAGAGATTCATGTTTGGATCTGACTCAAGCATCCCTGAATGCCATCAGATGGCTAAGTTATTATGCTTTGCTGACTGTAAGGTTTCATTTCAGTTACCAAAACTTGTTCAGTATTAGTTTCAGATCAGCTATGCTAGGAGTATCCATGCTTATTAACCTCAGTTGCCCTAGCTTAGTATTAGACAAATATTGTTCATATGTGGAACCTGAAGGTTTTACATCAATGTTGGTCGAAATTCTTCCAGTCTGTCGGCTTATTTTTTTTACCTCTTTCAGGCTCTTGAATGTCTTTGTCAAAATCACATGCTGACTTGTGAAGAAGGTAATAAACTTCCAATACTCGTTTCTGTTAAGTCGTCACTACATCCCGACGCCTGAGATTGTTGTGAGAGAATTAACTGTTCCGGTTTAATATGATTGTATGCTGCAGTAAATGATTCCATTCCTATATGTAATCATGATATCCTTCCTTTTAACTCCCAGAAACAAGTCTTTTTTCATCACTGGAATTTGGTCCTGAAGATGGGTGGCTTTCTTCGTTCTACTCTTGCTTGGGGAAAAAGGTAGTATTAGTTTTTATGTTGAAATAGAAAAGTTAAACTTCTGTTGGATGTTTTCCTAGTGGTGTTCTTGTTTGTGTATGGGCTTACATGGTTTTCTAGTACTTGTATGTTGACAGGGGCTTATGTATTTCTGTGTTCTTATGCACTAACCTCTCTCCTTCTGTGAATTATCTAGTGCAACAAAGAAAGCATTGTAGAAGACAAATTCCAAGAACTTGAAAAAGAATGCTGCAACAATAATCCTTCCAGTCCATATTTTATGCGCACACTGAAAAATGATTCTGATCTTTTGGCCTGCAAAGCTGAATATTATCATCAATCTGGTGAATTCCAGAAATGCTTTGAACTAACATCGTCGTAAGTTTATGAGACCCCTTGAATTTAACATTTGCACAAGATTCCTAGGGTTATGTTTTTAATCCTATTATTTCTTGTAGATTGCTTGAGAAAGACCCATTCCATTATAAAAGCACCTTGGTCCATTTGGCTGCTGCTGTGGAGCTTGGAAACTCAAACGAGCTTTATGTCATGTCATGCAATTTGGTGAAGGATGACCCTCAAAGGTAGTACTTTAATTAGGTCGCATAAGAGCTCTGCGATCGATGAATATTCAGTTGTATATTATTTATGTACACATTGTGAAATGCTATCATAAATTTTGAATTCAAAATGCAATGAGCTTGAAGTATATTTGCTATGATTAACTAAAGGAGTGAAACAGAACATAAAATGAGATTGTTCTCTTTTGTGTGTGTGTGTGTATGGTTTAAACAAGCAGTGTAGTTATTAAGAAGATGACAAGCAAGAGAGTTAAGAAATGTAACCTCACTTTCAAACTGTAAAACAGTAGAACCCTCTTAACCAAAATCTTCCGAGAAGTACTGTTGCTTATCTGTCCTGTAACTTCTTCGGTGTTTTCCTTAAATAGTATTATAGGGCCACACTCGTCATGCAAAGTGGATTTTGTTATTAGAATAAAGGATTAAACTTTTAGAATCTAAAATGTGATTAACCTTTTTTTTTTTTGGGGGGGGTAGAAAGATTAACCATTATTTGTGTCTCTCTAAGTGTCAGATTTTTACTTTTCTGGGCAGAACGAAAGCTTTCTGTGGTATCTCTAAGTTTTCCTAAATACTGGAGTTACAGTTCTCAAGCATATTTAAACAAGCAAAACAAACTAGCAATTATGAGTAACATGGCAAAGAGGTATAACCTATATTGTCAATTAGTAATGAAGACATGTCTTAAGGTAAGCTCATCACAGCGACAACAAATTTCACACCCCTTGTATATTTCTTCTGGCTTTTGTCACTTACAGACTCATCTTTTTTAGGGCTCTTTCATGGTTTGCTGTTGGTTGCTACTACTATTGTATCAAGAAGTATGAACAGTCGCGTAGGTATTTCAGGTAAACTACAGATTATGCTTGGCTTTATTTGTCCGTCTTTTGTCAGTGATGGATGTTTGACAATCTCCCTTCTTATGCCTTTTGATGATCTCACTTTCTTTTTTCATCAATTAAAATTACCCATCTATGAAATCAGTTGGATGGTCCACATCATATGTTTGCCTTAGTACGTTGCCTATTTTCACTATTGTAGTGCATTCATAGACTTTTAAACCGGTGGCTACTGTGAATATAATTTTTAGAGCCTTTCGGTTTTTGGATATCATAACACAGCCTGGTTCCATAATTAAGACTTCTGTCATCAAATTCGAAGCAATGCCATGACTATCGATATATCCATTAAATCAAGAGGGTTTCTGAATTTGAGGAAAGGAACTGGAACAAGTAATTTGAATTGATTGCCAGTTATACAAAGTGTTTGGATTATAGTACTTATGGAACTCAAGGAAGGACATGGCTGCAAATTTTGTTTCTTTCTTTCTTCTTTCAAGGACAATAACCTATCAAGGCGATTGAGCTAGAATAAGTGTGTCAACTTGCACTCACATAAGTTTGCAAGGTTATATCCAAGCTGGGTCTATCGCCATGTGTTGGTTTCCTCGTCATTATAAATCAAAAAGATTTGGAGAAGATTTGTTCTTCTGATAACTCATTATAAAACACTGAAACATAGTGGTACTGTGAAATATTTACTTCATTTTCCAACTAGTAATCTATTATTCAAATTTAAAAGTACTGAGCTTCCTTAACAACTATACAGATCTCAACTCGCTACCCACAAATGCACAATCTTTTTTTTATATAAATGATGATTCAGAAATATTGGAAAACCACAAATACCAACAAATACACAATCTTTACCATGCATGCGTACAGAATATGGATGCTTTGACTGATCTCTTCCTTCTTCTGTAACTACAGCAAAGCAACTAGCCTGGATGGAATCTTTGCACCTGCTTGGATAGGCTACGGGAATGCTTATGCTGCTAAAAATGAGGGAGATCATGCAATGTCAGCTTACCGTACAGCAGCCCGTTTATTTCCAGGGTATTCATGATGTTATCTTGTCACCACACAGATAATTTAATGTTCCTTAAAATACCATATATAGGACATTGCAGCAGGTGCTTGGGTGCAATTAATTTGACAAGCTTGCATTAGTTTGCCTTTTCATTTGGTAGCTTATACTGCATTTTATTGCTGTTCTTTCTATCTCTGCCACCTTTGTGATTTTTGCCAGCTTTTTCAGCTTACAGAACATCTCAATCTTGTAATTGTTCCTAGGATCATGAACGTTGTAGCATTCCGTTACTGATTTGAGTAATATTTTGCATTCTGGAAGCCCCTCAGATCTATAAATTGGTTTTTACAGGTTGAATCTTGATATTCTCTTGTTCCAGGTGTCATCTACCAACACTGTACATTGGGATGGAGTACATGCGGACTCACAGCTATAAGCTTGCTGAGCAGGTAATTTCAATTTTCAGATACTTGATTTTTTATTCTAGGGAGCTCTTTGTACACTAAGTCTCAGTCTTGGTGCTGATATTTCCCAATCGTATGAAATGTTGTTCCTTTCCTATTCTGAGAAAATCTGAAATAGTTGGAATTGGGAGGAACGCTTGAGAGAGCCCTCCACATACCTGAACTAGTTACATTGAACACTAGGCCACATGGGAACTAGGACTGTGGCTCATTTTTTTCTCATCTCAACCTGGGAAGTGGTAATAGTGTTACCATTAAAGCATCTATTATGAGCTTTCAATGAGTTAAGGTCTCAATCCACGACCAGTTGATCATCATGGCATAGAGATCTGGGCAACATTTTGAGACCTTAGACCCTTATTCTAAAAAATATAACATGGGGGGAAACGATTTTCTCTTGAGCTCATAACGGCTTTACTTTCTTTGGAATTTATTTTTGGTGGCTTTGTTGCGCATTTTCATCTGACTTGACTGGACATTTTTGCTTTTTGGCGCTGCCAGTTTCTATTGCAGGCAAAGGAAATATGCCCTTCTGATCCTTTAGTATATAATGAACTTGGAGTTGTCGCTTATAGCATGAAGGAGTAAGGATCTCTTATCAATTAGTCATCCTCTAGTGTTAGCTAAAATTTGTTGTAGTGATCTCTTACCTTGATATTTGTGGTTCTTTTTGAAGTATTTTCTTCGCGGTTGACCTTGCTTTGTACAGTGCGTATTACCAAGATCATGTTGATGTCCCATGTACCAAGTGTAATTGAAATAAGTATTTTTTATTTTCTAAAGTCAATAATTGTAGGACATTCAAGGGTATAAGGTAAGCTGGTGGTGAAAACTTCACTATCCACTGTTAGTGAACGAACCAGCATGGAGTAGTGCTTACAAACAAGGATGCACTTCGCTTGCTACAACAGTATTTTGTTAGATGAATTAACTAGAATTAATCATACTAACATAAATTTTCTGGAGATCCAGAAATTCCTAGGGCCTCACTTATATTTTATTGGTAACAGAATTAATCATAGTAACAGTAATACTTGCTTATCCAACACACCTTGACTTAATAAACATTGTGATTATTATTGATGCGAGTTTATCTTCCTGATACATTTGCAGGTATAACAAAGCTGTGTTTTGGTTTGAGAAGACTTTGACTCATATTCCAGCTTTGAGTCAACAGTGGGAGCCTACTGTTGTGAATCTTGCCCACGCCTACAGAAAGCTCAAGTGCGTCAATGTGCTGTTGAAGATTATTTTTAAATTAACTTCCTATATATCAAATGTGTCTTCACCTTAGCTTCTGAGCAAGTAACTGGCAAATAAGTACGAGTGTGGCATTTTATGCGTCTTAAGTTGACGATCTCTCTGAGGATCACGAGAGAATAAAGTTGAGGTACCTTATCATGCCTAATTTGGCACGTACGTTAGATTAATGGTGCATGCTATTGCAAGAGGTACTTTGTAAGCAGCCCAAGGATTGTTCTCCATCCCTTCAATTTGTTACCCAGATAAGCACATCCACGTTTGACTTTACATTGAGTAAATTGTCTTCATGAAACTTAGCTGGAAAACGATATTGTCTTTGTGTGATGGTGCCCACCTTCTTGGATGCACAGGTTTAAGTTAGATCAGTCATGTGTGTATCTAGGCTCCCTGCTTATTGATGTTTGTTGACAATGTATCAGGATGTACCCAGATGCAACTTCATATTATGAGAGAGCTCTTGCGTTATCAACCACAAGTTTAAGTACTTATTCAGGACTTGCATACACCTACCATCTCCAGGTAACTTCTTTCTCTGTATTTACTTCTCTCCTTGGATTTTGCTCGAACCTCGGCAATGCTTTAACATTTTGGGGCAGTCAGCCTCATCGTTCTACACCTCGTGCAGACTCTTTCACTGCCTTTGGTTCTGATGTTTCATTTATGCTTCTCCCAGTAATACGGAGTCTGGTGTTGTGTGCTGATGATGGTATTTGACTAATCCTATGTCTTTTTGTACTGTATTTGCAGGATAATTTCACAGCTGCAATTACATATTATCACAAGGTAAGGCAGCTGCACCTACTGAGTTGATTTTGTATAATAACTTACACTCAATTGCTGATTGCTCTTATAAAAAAAAACAATTTCTGCTGATTGCTGTGGAGTTCCAACTTATTCTATGAATGCACTTCATTTTGTGATGCTGTGTTTTGTTGTTTGGGCAGGCACTGTCGCTGAAACCAGACGATCAATTCTGTGCAGAAATGTTGAGCTCGGCACTCGAGGATGAAGCTCATTATGATATAGACCCCAAGTTCCGGTCCCGCCTGAATGAGGTTTTTGTGTAACATGTAGGTCGATAGATGGGGAGGAAAAAAAAAGGAAAAGAACCCAGAAACGAAATGTGTTTATATAGGTCGTAGTGCAAGGGCATGGTTCATGTTTTTCCTTCTTTTCCTAGTGTAGTAATCAATTTAGTTTTCTAAATGTGACCAAGGGGCTGGAGGAGCCTATAAATTATATGCCACTCATGGGAAACTCAATTCTTGACCTTCACATCCTTACTCTCTTACAAGGATTTGCTCAAAAAAGTCTCGTTTTGATGAGAAATGTGACAATTTGGTCAAATAAATTACAGGAAAGCCAGGTCATAGTCATCTCTGTTATGAATAATTATTCCGATGATGGGAATAAGCAATACCATTAACACGAAATAGAGGAGAAGGAGTAACACCGCTTTTATTCCATACTCTCGTATCCCTATTACAGAGGATTGTAGACATATAGATACATGGAGAATTGAGGGAGAAGAGAAGCTTGTTGGTGTGTCTTTCCTTCTTCCATAGCTTTCCTTTTATAGCCATTGAGTGTAGAGTCCCAATTAATTGAGATGGAGGGTGTGTATGATGGACATCCACTTAATCATAATGGTGATCTATAGTGGGTTAGGTCATTAATTAGGTTGGGAAGATGGTAGTAGTTGGGGTATGTGGGCAATTGACATCCACATATATATTCATAATACTCCCCCTTGGATGTCTATTGATTAAGAACATGCCTCGTTAAAACATTGCTAGGAAAAGTCCTGTGGGATAAAAACCTAGTAAAGGAAAAAGAGTACATAGTTCTTCTATTACGCATGGTATACTTCCTCATTAAAAACCTTACCAGGAAAACCCAGTGGAAAAACCTTAGTTAAGGGAAAAAGTGATCTTAATCATCAATATATCTTACTCATTCTTATCATTTGTGCACCTTTTATATATTTCTTGATGCACATGACTTTCCTTTGCAAATATTTGATTTGAAATCCAGGAAATAGTCTAGTTCTTTCAAGTTATTGATTTCAATTACTTTTGAATACTCTTTTAGAGTTTCAAGTCAATCAATAACTTCGTATCTTTGAATACTCTTCTAGAGTTTCAAACATATTTATACTTTTAATCTCAACTTGAAATCATTGTTTACAAATGTGTCGTCACCCCAAAGGTGGCAAAGAATTTGTCAACACATTGTCATGAGAAGTTTGGCTCTTTCAACCAATGATTCTTTGTCAGAACACATGAAGCTATCATTGGAAGATATTCTAGGTAATTCATCTGTCTTCCTCAAATTATAATAAGAATATGGAATTTGAGATCATTCGTATTTCTCCTATCTCGTAGAAACTTCATTGAGATAGTTATTCCATATATATCGATGCTCATTTAATTTGTTTGAGGGGAGGATTCAATATACTTGAATAATGTTCTCCACAATCTCAACATGTTCGCTTCAAGCAAACTAACTCTTTCAGAGAGTTCCATATGAATTTCATCATTAAGCATGCTTTAGTATCAACCTTCATTAGACGCATATATAACTTTTATATACTGCCAAAAGGCATATCCACCATATGGAAGTTTTCCTAAATCAATGCCAATTATTTTGTGAAGACCTTTATGACAAGTCGAGCATGATATATATTAATTTCTCCCCCTTTGTCATGTCTTCGTAAAACATCATATGAGTTTTACTGGCATTGCTTCTGTATAGCTCTTATGACCTTTTACTGTTTAGGCTAGTTCATAACTGCCTCAAATGCGTCGTTTACAACTTGGTCTATAACCTTTTTAAGGTGACCAATGGATCAAACTTCACGATCCTCTTTCATATCATATTGGGCGCTACAATATATGAAAACTCTATCGTCAACGTCGACTTCCTTTCGATTCCATTGAATCTCATCCAAGATATAATTTATTAGGATTTCTTTCATAATCCCGAAATAGGTACATGTGGTTCTTCCAGACCAATGTTATAATACTTGGAGATTCAAATAAGCTTGCAATATCCTCATCATAAAGACCATCTTTATTTTGAGCTCCTTTTTATTTTTCGAGGACTTGTATTTCCTTGGAATCGATAGTTCAACACATTACATATGTGTGTGCAACATATCCTTCAGGGATATAGTTCTTAGGAGCATTAGCAGCTTTTGTGACTTAGTCACTCCTTTGTGATCATTAATTACGCCTGGCAGTAGGCTTACTAAACTTGGAAAATGAATTATCATTGAAATTCAAATTCACATTACAAATATGAGGATCATAATTCATTTCAACCAATTTTAGAATCAACTGCTTATTTTTTCTCCCCCCTGTTATTGGAAAGATCTAAATAACTATTTCAACAAATATCATAAAGTTGATTTACTAATCTGCAAAATAATAGAGACTTCTTGCTCAACATTAACTTCCAATATCCTTTCAGGGAATTGGATGGTTCCTGCCCATAAACCAATTTGTACAGGGGTTTAGGAGTGACATCTTTTTGGCATGATGCAAAATCGATACTGCTACATGCAACTGGCATGTCTTCACTAAGTTGTTTCACATGCTTATGCACAAGCATGTGCTACATGACACTTGATATTGAAACCAATAATATGAGATACAAATTCACCAATAATCATCGAGAAGTATTCTCTTCATATTGAACATTCGTTCATATATGCCCGTAAGTGAATCAATTGTGCAACCAATCTTGCAAACTTCAGGTTGCAGGTGGAGTGATCATTTAGACGATGCATCGATTAAAACCATAAAATAACTAAATGACCCATATGGTGCGTTGATCTAATAGTTTCACATTGTATATACTAATTACTTCTCACTTTCATAGGTGATCTCATAATCAACTTTTCTTGAGAATATACAGCACAAAAAAAATCCTTCATTGTGAAATTTTCGAAAATATTCTCATAAAAGATTTTCATGAATCCTCGATTAGCCCAACCGGTCATGCCAAGCAATCAATTTACAACAAATGGAAACTTCAGGTTTATGGTTCGTTTCATTACCTTTTGCTTCAGGAAGAAGGACTAACTAAGAGTAGTAATTCAACATAATAACATGTATTATGCAATACTTTAAGAATAAGGATACCAAAAGGGGACGCGGTCGAAGTGGTACGACTCTTTGACCTCAACCGGAACGTTGTAGGTTCAAGCCCCATTGACGCCAGATTTCGAACCCAAAGATTCTTTTAATAACCCATATCACTATATGTGGTAGATATGCTTCTGGCATTTAATATGGGTTATGCTTACGACATATTACCCTACCAATGGGAAACTATTGGATACAACATATAACACAATATCTCAGTATTGTCGCCTGATAATTTCGATATGCTTCTGGCATTTTGTGGGTAATGTCGACCGACATATTACCCTACCTCTTTTGTTTCTTTCCAAAATTTCAAACCAAAATCTTCTCAATATTGTCGGAAATCTACCACATCAACATCCTTATCTTATCCCCATTTTCGGCTATAAAACAACAACTTTCCTCCTTTTCATTTCATTCTACTCAAACCGAAAAATCATACATCATCTCTCAATTCCATCATTCTTCTTCCCTTCTTGGAACTCTTCTCGTTATAAGTCGCTTCAGGGATCTTATCGAGTTCGGGTGAAGCAATGGCTGAAGAAATCTCTTCCTCTCTAATCTTGCTTTGAGTGTCATGGATCTTTATGATTTTGTTTCTCATTGCAATACTTATCTTGCTAGAGATACACTATCGCAATCATGAACGCTACGTTTCGATACACAAACGCGAGGATCATAAGCATGACTAGATATTTTCTAGTCTTTGATTCATATATGGTAGTATGAAAAATGAGACTTAGATCTCAAGTCATGTATGATGTATGAATAAAATGAAGTTTAAATACTTACTTTTATCAATAAATACAAACTTTTACTTCCGGAAAGTTTGTGTTATATACTTTATACTATATCAACATAATTTTGGAGTCAAGTCATAAACTGATCATTAACTTCATTGGATCATCTTATGAGTAATACCCCATGAATCATTATATCAAATGGGCGTATAATCAAATCCGGTGTGTCCCACCTTCGATAAGCCCTTATATGCTTTGCCATAAAAATCTTCAGGATATGATCACTTTATTCAAATAATTCTTGATTAAATCCATGAAACGATTCAACGTACAACCGGTACGTTATATGGCCAATATCTTTGTCCCTTTTAATAAATCGTTGATTCAACTTATGAATCTATTTGACGTACAACTGGTACGATAACGTTCTTGCATTTTCAATCACTGGCCATATAACATTTCACTTCTGGTGAATGTTATTATGGTTGGTATTATAGAACCATTTTATCACTCAACATTTGACCTCGTTTTTCTTCACATTCACTTCTGGAATGGAGTTACATCAAGATATTTGCTGAGTCAATATATCCCGTTTATCCATGGGTTGTTTCATTGTAGACTTTTCATCATAATTTTATTCTTCCGGAATTGAAACTTCCCGAAATTTCTCCCGTTCATTTTACTTGCTACTGCTGGAGCAAAGTAAATGATAACATCGAGAATATATAATGGGAATCACCATCGTCTTCCGTAAATCAATCTAAAAGCTAAGAATATATATATCCTGCCTATATCATTTATAATTATAGTAGCATAAACAACTTATCACTAGTTAGCTACTTGTTAAACTAAATGGAAAAAGACATAACATAATTCATACATATATATATATATATATATATATATATATATATATATATATATATATATATAAACCAACATACTGCAATTAATAGCATTGTCAATTTGTCGTTGAATAAATAAGGCAATCGCAGTGTTATATGTTTTCCTTTAAAGCAATAATTTAAACAGGCCATACAATTATTGAAGGAATGCATGTGACAATTGATGAGTTCAGATATGACCATTATTACTGGATTTGTATTGTAAACAAGGGAAGTGCATGCAAGATGGTCAAAATAAAAATAAAGTGTTTTGTAATACAATGTAATTATTAAA